CCTGATGAGTTGGGCGAGGTCCCCTCCAGGCTGCTGTCACTGTTGCATTGGCTCTGAGTCGGGTTCTCTGTCTTCAAATGTTCAGCCTAAGAGAGGGGATTTTTGTGTGTGTGTGTGTGTGTGTGTGTGTTTAACAGTGATGTGTGTGTGTGTGTGTGTGTGTGTGTGTGTGTGTTTAACAGTGATGATGTGTGTGTGTGTGTGTGTTTGTGTGTGTGTGTGTCCTCAGAGCAAGAACTCGTGAGTTGGAAGAACTGAGAGGCCTATGGCGTGGGTGTTGTCCTTGGCCACCTGCTGACAAGGCTGACAAGATAGGACCCTTTTGTCCATTGTTATTGGATAGGAACAGAACTTATAACCAGCTCCTGACCTAAATAGATCTTAGCACAACATTTTACTCAACATATCATATTCCATATTCACTATAACAAATATATTTACTACGACATTAGCAAGAACCGCCACATCCTCAGCCGGCTAATCCAGTGTGTGAAGTTTTGCGGAGTGTTTGAGTTAGCTTTGCGAGGCAAAGATGAAACTGAGGGCTCCACCAACCCTGGTAAGCCAACACTTTTGAGATCAGTCAATAAATGCTTCTGGTATTGACTTATATGCTGCCCCTGTCTTCATGTTGTTGCTGGACATATCTTTTTTAAAATGTGTGTAGGTCACCTAAATCATCAGAAAAATTGCCCCTCCTGAGAATTTTTTCAGGAGCCGCCACTGCTAATAAATAAGCATGTTTTTCTTTCGATTATTTAATTACCTACAGTACATCATGTTATTTCAAGTTATCCCTTTGAAACGCAATATCACATTGTACAAAAATATTCCTAAATTGGGCATGCCTATAAATTGGGCAATAGAAGGCGTCTAGGGTTTATGTTAACTTTGATTGTGTTCGATGAAAACTATAGACGTTTCCAATGTTGTACGCAGCGTTGTATGCAACTAATCGGGAGTGACGAGTGTGTTCATGTAACAGTAATATTGTCCAAATTCTGCTTTTAACAACCATTAGAATTGGTAAAGAAATATAATAATTATGCATGCCAACATATTGGGCAATAATTAAGAGAAGGCAAGTGATCGTGTCAGGCGAAAATTATATCAAACATTTTATCATTGCAACATTTGACATACTGTAGAGTTCACAGCTGGCGATGCCTCATCGCGATTGTTTATTCCCAGTCATTTGCAACAATGTCAATGAACGTCATCAATATCTTTCCTTTGGATACCTCAAACTTTCGTGATTACCAGCTGAGAAACTTTTATGGGTTGATTTTACTCCTATAGCTCAGAGTTTTTTCGGGGCTGGGAGGTTTTTTAGTCTTAAAACCGGGTTTAACGGGATTCCTAGGACCTTTTCTGAGATGCTTTGTGGATATGGGCCCAGATATTGAAACTTTCACTCAGACATAGGCCTTGAATACTCTGAAAATGAAATCCTTTCAAATCTGTGTTCAATGATGCAAGTGAGTAGTTTCATTCAAGGGCAGCATCAGGTCTTTCCCCACAGCTTCTACTCTTACTATTCTGTTAGTACAGGAAAGCCTTGCACCTCCCTCTCTCCAGCTCAGACAAACACTCAGGTGTTAGTATGCAGGTGTGTATGTGTGATGGAAAGGTGTGGGGAGGGAGGAGGTTGTACTCCAAGCTAAAAAGCAATGGATTATCAGGCTTCCATCACCATTTACAGTATCATGACATTTACATTTTAGTCATTTAGCAGAGCGACTTACAGGAGCAATTAGGGTTAAGTGCCTTGCTCAAGGGCACATCGACAGATTTTTCACCTAGTCGGCTCGGGGATTAGAACCAGCAACCTTTCAGTTACTGGCACAACGCTCTTAACCACTAAGCTACCTCCAAGTGAAAGTCTATAGCAGGGGTATTCAACTCTGACCCTACGAGGTCCGGAGCCTGCTGCTTTTCTGTTCTACCTGATCATTAATGTCAGACACCTGGTGTCCCAGGTCTAAATCACTCCCTGATTAGAGGGGAACAGTGAATAAACGCAGTGGAACTGGCTTCTACAACCAGAGTTGAGTTTGAGGGGTCTAGAACGATCACCTAACGTCCCATGGATCTCTATTAAAGATACATTTGGTTTTCATTATAACAAGAGCATTACTTAACCGCAAGGCCACTAAACTGGTATGGTGTCTTCCTGAGTATCACAATTAAATCACAATTATTTTTTATTTTCATTGGTGTGCCTACCCCACTTGAGCAAGAATTTGAACAGTTATTACATGACTCATTGATTTAGAGAACAGGAACAGAAGCTTCAGTACGTCATTCCAACCATTTCTCAAATACATTAGATTTGGGTTACCCGTTGATATCCACACTAACCATGGTAGTGACTGTTGCTATGGCAGCATGCACGGGAAGAATCTCAATTGCATTTCCTTGACTCCTCGCGTCCTCTCTCCTCGCCTCCTTCTCAAAACCCCTCTGACCTTCTCCTCCAATGGGTCTTGAGAAGGGGGCGAGGAGAGAGGACGCGAGGAGTCAAGGAAATCCAACTGAGAATCTCCCATTGTGTAATTCCATTGGCTGTAAGGGTGTCATCCTGTTCTGAGGAGCTGGGGGGAAGCTGAGGTGTCTGTCTGAGTCTGACAAACAGACATCCTGTTCTGAGGAGCTGGGGGGAAGCTGAGGTGTCTGTCTGAGTCTGACAAACAGACATCCTGTTCTGAGGAGCTGGGGGGAAGCTGAGGTGTCTGTCTGAGTCTGACAAACAGACATCCTGTTCTGAGGAGCTGGGGGGAAGCTGAGGTGTCTGTCTGAGGAGCTGGGGGGAAGCTGAGGTGTCTGTCTGAGGAGCTGGGGGGAAGCTGAGGTGTCTGTCTGAGGAGCTGGGGGGAAGCTGAGGTGTCTGTCTGAGTCTGACAAACAGACATCCTGTTCTGAGGAGCTGGGGGGAAGCTGAGGTGTCTGTCTGAGTCTGACAAACAGACATCCTGTTCTGAGGAGCTGGGGGGAAGCTGAGGTGTCTGTCTGAGGAGCTGGGGGGAAGCTGAGGTGTCTGTCTGAGGAGCTGGGGGGAAGCTGAGGTGTCTGTCTGAGGAGCTGGGGGGAAGCTGAGGTGTCTGTCTGAGGAGCTGGGGGGAAGCTGAGGTGTCTGTCTGAGTCTGACAAACAGACATCCTGTTCTGAGGAGCTGGGGGGAAGCTGAGGTGTCTGTCTGAGTCTGACAAACAGACATCCTGTTCTGAGGAGCTGGGGGGAAGCTGAGGTGTCTGTCTGAGGAGCTGGGGGGAAGCTGAGGTGTCTGTCTGAGGAGCTGGGGGGAAGCTGAGGTGTCTGTCTGAGGAGCTGGGGGGAAGCTGAGGTGTCTGTCTGAGGAGCTGGGGGGAAGCTGAGGTGTCTGTCTGAGTCTGACAAACAGAAGGATAAGGACGGCAAATCCTCTGAGTGTTTCCCAATGACTGACAGCACATGTTTGACTGTCTGCAGTGAGGCTCACATTCGCTCACACAGACACGCAGATACACACAACACACATTCACTTTCACACTTACATTTAATGTACACAGTACGTACAGTATAATAGAGTATAGTACAGTATAGTACAGTATAGTACAGTATAGTACAGTATAGTACAGTATAATAGAGTATAATAGAGTACATAGACCTACTGTACATAGGGCTCGACAGTTCAGTACAGTGCCGTACAGTGCAGTACACACATACATTCAACAACATTTTTTTAATTATTATATTATTTAAATTATCCAAAATGTACAAAAAGCTTGCATTTAACCCCGGATGAAACAAGGATATGATATGGTTATGATATGATTATGATATGGTTATTTTATGGTTATGATATGCTTATGATATGGTTATGACATTTGCAGTCAACATTCTCCTTGGGATGAGTAGTAAATCAATATACATCATAGTAATTAGTGGTAAATAAATACTGAACAAAAATATAAACGCAACAATTACAGTTCATATAAGGAAATCAGTCAATTGAAATCAATTCATTAGGCCCTAATCTACAGATTTCACGACTGGGAATACAGATATGCATCTGTTGGTCACAGATACCTTAAAAAAAAGTAGGGGCGTGGATCAGCAGCCTTGGCAGCAGATAATGGGGATCCATAATAAATACAAATACGGTATCTCTGTGTAATCAAATTGCCATCGATACAATGCAATTGTGTTCATTGTCCGTAGCTTATGCCTGCCCATACCATAACCCCACCGCCACCATGGGGCACTCTGTTCACATCGTCGACATCAGCAAACCGCTCACACGACACCATACACGTGGTCTGCGGTTGTGAGGCCGGTTGGACGTACTACCAAATTATTTAAAAAAGACATTGGAGGCAGCTTATGGTAGAGAAATTAACATTACATTCTCTGGCAACAGCTCTTGTGGATATTCCTGCAGTCAGCATGCCAATTGCACTCTCCCTCAAAACTTGAGACATCTGTGGCATTGTGCTGTGTGACAAAACTGCACATTTTAAGTGACCTTTTATTGTCCACAGCACAAGGTGCACCTGTGTAAGGATCATGCTGTTTAATCAGCTTTTTGATATGCCACACCTGTCAGGTGGATGGATTATCTCAGCAAAGGAGAAATGCTCACTAACAGGGATGTAAACACATTTGTGTACAACATTTGAGAGAAATAAGCTTTTAGTGCATATGGAACATTTTTGGGATCTTTTATTTCAGCTCATGAAACATGGAACCAACACTTTACATGTTGCGTTTATATTTTTGTTCAGTGTACATAATAGTAATTAGTGCAAAATATACATAATAGTAAATAGTGCCAGGGATGACTGTCCTCCCCACATCTCGTCTTAGGAAGTTTCCAATTGGCTCAGCAGAATACACTGCCAAGCGCTTAGCCCTGCCATCTATTTCAGGGAACTCGCAGTGAGGAAGTGAGTTGTTAGAAAATAAAAAACAGACTGTCAATGATGGTGACAGTGGCTGAGACATGGAGTCAAATCAGAGATCTACTTCATGTTTTTCTCTATCCAGTCTTTGAAGTTTTTTATCCGGGCATGGACTGTGTAAAGCACTGGGCCACAGTTCCATGTCTCATAACCAAAACTTTCTAAAGCCAGAAGCTCCCAGACAACACTATTGTCCCCCTGTCCCTCCGAAGGACCCGATGATGGCTTAGTGGCAGGAGATGGTATGATTGTGATGCCTGCACTGACAGTGGGACAAGGCTTGGTGGGATTGAGAGGGTGGTGCATTGTACACAGCATATTGTCAGTGATGGTGACAGGGGCCCCGCTCAGAGCAAACTGCCTCTCGCACTGAAGGACATCCCCCAGCTCGACCACTCCAGTCTGGGCTGTCTCGCCGGCTACGCTGGGTTTGGAACTGGACCTTGAGTCAAATGCAAGGAGCCAGCCTGTGGCATAGCCCTGTGTGGCGGTCACCTCCCCGCCTTGCATTTTGGGGAGACACACGGGCAGCACACGCTCACTGATCTTGGCCTTGTCCCGTAGCTTCAGAACAGCCAGGTCTGAGTCCAGTGTCACAGGATCGAAGCTGGGATGAGCCAAGACAGAGGAAACCTGTTGGATCAGAGGAGACATGAGGAAGATCGAACCAAAATGAATGCCGTGCAGAGAGTTAGAGCAGTGGCAGCTTGCTTGGCTCAGTCTAAACACATAAGTGCCCCAGCATGCAACTTGGCAGGACCTAAGCACAGCTTACTGACTTGCCATGTGCATTGAGATTTGGTCAGTGCGGTTGGCGACAACACTCCTACAATCTGTTCTCTGGAGGGGACAAGTGTTTGTGCATAACGCAAGGAGGTCTAATTGTTTAGGACAAATTCCCAACCTTAGTTTCCAACATCTCCCATTGACATGACAATATATTATTTATACCAGTGTGTCATACAGATGTAGGATCTTAATTTGATCACCCTGTTGAAGGAGAACAGTGCAGAAAGGTAAAACTTGTAGTGTATTTGAGGTTTAGAAAGGCTTCTGAAGTTTGTAATTTCCACTTTGAAATGCCAGACTTGATTTTCCCTTACATAAAGTGTATCACGCCCACACTTTTACGCCCTGTGTAGATACAGCTGGGCGGCGCACAATTGGCCCAGCGTCGTCCGGATTAGGGGAGGTTTTGGCCGGGGGTGCTTTACAAGTAGGCAGTCATTGTAAATAAGAATTTGTTCTTAACTGACTTGCTTAGTTAAATAAAGGTTAAATAAAATAAATACAAAATAAACAGCATCCCCCCTAGCCTAGCATCACTCACACCCACCTGCAGTTGTTGCAGTGTCTTCATCTGGCCCTGGCTGTGTATTCCCATCACCACTTTAATGTTGGTTGGATCTACCCACTGGGGCTTGCCCACTCCTGCAACCACCAGGCAGTGACCTGCCACCAGCACACTGAGCTGGGTGACTAGAGCTCCACTGCACGCCAGCTGCCAAGGAGAGGAGGCCTCCTCTGGTGCCCCCTGTAGGCTAGAGCCAGCACTGCGGATGCTGGGGAAGCGTAGGTAGATGGCTGCATGCCAGGGCCAGCCAATCTCAGTGAGGTTCTGAGGGCTAAAGGCTGCTGGGAGTTGACCACACACTGTCACAGAAAGAGAGAGGAGTAGGTGTCAGAGATGGGAGAGGAAATAGGTTGTTTTCTGACTATGTTTCTAACCTCCATGTACACCTGCGGAGGCAGGTAGCCTAGCAGTTAAGAGCGTTTGGCCAGTAACCAAAAGGTTGCTGGTTTGAATCCCCGAGCCAACTAGGTGAAAAATCTGTCAATGTGCCCTTGAGCAAGGCACTTAACCAGAGAGTCTGCTAAATGACGTAAATGTATCAGGGACACTTGTACAGTGATTAATGTGTACTAAATTGTATAAATGGATCCAATAAAGTTGGACCATATTCGAAAAAAACGAATCTGTTCATTGGCTGACTAAGTTTGAGTACATCTCCCTTTCTTTGCAGCTTTTCTATAAGTCAGTGCTGCCCTCACCTGGCGAGCAGGAGACATGACGCCCACTCCACCTGCCTGTCTTCAGACAGGTGCGCCGGGGGCTACCACGGTGTTGGTAGAGAGGGAGGGCACACGCATACTCAATGCTGGTGTACAGGTGGTGGAAACCACGGGGTAACTCCCCCAGGGTAGGGTCTTGGGTGCTGGGAAGCTTCCCCGAGGAGGGTGGGTCATAGACCTTATGCCTAGACGAGGTGTAAAGCCTGTGGACTGGACTTTTCCTGTAGTAGGGGACAGAGAAGGTGTCTATGTACAAGGATAATACACTTAACAATGGACACGTTTAAAATAGATATAGAATACATGTTTACTGGGAAGTTATTGTCTGTAAAACACGTGTCAAACTCATTCCACGGAGGGCCGAGTGTCTGCGGGTTTTCGCTTCACCCTTGTACTTGATAGAGGAATTAAGGTCACTAATTAGTAAGGAGCTCCCGTCACCAGGTTGTCTAGGTCTTAATTGAAAGGAAAAAACTAAAACCTGCAGAGACTCGGCCCTCTGTGGAATGAGTTTGACACCTCTGCTGTAAAATAAAACCTAATCCACTCTAAAAACCAGAAGCAGTGTTTAAATTCACCCAAGGTGCCGGCTTTGTACAGATTGACATACAAACAGTCAGAATGAGACATATAGTAGTGTTAGTACGGGTCATACCTGGATGGGGCCATTGGCTTCACAATCTTGTGTCTCACCAGCTCAGATACCTTAGGCTCTCGACAGGCTGTGGACACAGAGAAAGAGCACTTAACCACGTAATCAACAGTATTGTCCAATAACCTAAACAACAACACTAAAGCACTGTACAGTCTGATGTTATTTAAGCAATAAGGCCCAAGGTGGTGTGGAATATGGCCAATATACCACGGCTAAGGGGTGTTCTTAAGCACGACGCAACGTGGAGTACCTGGATACAGCCCTTAGCCATGGTATATTGGCCATATATCACAAACCCCCGAGGTGCCTTATTGCTATTATAAACTGGTTACCAATGTAATTAGAGCAGTAAAAATAAATGTTTTGTTATACCCGTGGTATACGGTCTGATATACCACGGCTTTCAGACAATCAGCATTCAGGGCTCGAACAACTCAGTTTATAAATGTGGATAAACATGTGCAGGGGTTTTATCCAACTGACGGATTGCTGTCAGTATACCTCTCACACACAGTGGTCGCCGGCCACTCCACGAGCCATCTGAGAGACAGGTGCTCCGGGAGCCTCCACTCAGGATGTAGGAGGTGTTACAGAAGTAGTCCACTGTGTCAGGACCTCCCCCAGAGCCCCGGACCAGCTGGAGGTAGCCATGGTGCAGCCTGGCTGGAGGAGGACACCCCCCCGGGCCTCTGACTGGGTCCGCACCCCTCTGACTGGGTCTAATGGGCTCTGAGAGAGGTGAAGAGAGGGAGGAGAATCATGTATTGAGAAATGTACTGGTCATTCAATGGTCTACCATGACTCTGTCACGTATGTTCATTCCTTGTGTACTCTCTTCTTGTTTTCATTGTGTAGTTTATTTTATTGACACGTGAGGCATCATCTAATGTAATGTACCTGTTCCATCAGTACTCATGTCTGCATCATTCCTGTCTGTGCTGGGGATCAATAAAGTTGATCCATTCATTTCCATGATCTTGAACTTTACCTTTATCTACCTTTCCACAGATGGGCACTGTGCCACTCCAGGTGGCATTGGGCAGGCAGGTCCTCTGGGGGGTGCCAGTCAGTGTGTAGGGTGGGTGACACAGGTACTGAACAGCCAGGAGTTCATCCCCCAGGCCGTACACAGAGAGGAGCTCTCCGTTCACGGGCCTCGCCGGCAACACACACACCTGTCTCCTAGCAACTGGAAGGGGGGAGAGAGAGAGAGAGAGAGAGAGAGAGAGAGAGAGAGAGAGAGAGAGTGTGGTCTGTGTAGAAATATTATATCAACCATCCCCAGTTTGGTCTGGACTCCTGAAATGACCCTGAAAGCGCCCTCTTTGGCCTCATGGGTGGAATGTTAATATTTTTATTAAAGATTTTTTTTTTTTTACTGATGAAAATCCGGTGTTTCTATGTCAAACAGTTTTGTTATATTTCAGTCTTCTGTGTATATATAGTGTAATATTGGGATGCAAACTCAAAATTGAAGACATTTCAACTCTATATCTGACATGGTACAGGTGTCTTCTTTTTTAAAGCCCATAACCATGTGTGTGAGGTGTATACTTTTGTTTCAGAGTAGATTTGTTTAAGACGACCAAGAAACACTCTGTGTGACCCTGATTTTAACCCACTGCAGTAAAAGGTTATCCTCCCAGCAAGCAGTAGAGCTAGGTTTTATAATACCTGAATGAAATGAATAACTCACTTTGTTTGGTGGGGAAATTAGGTTATTGGGAGCAGACGGATCACTAACCATTCTCACAGAGTTGACCTGTGTAACCTGCCAGACATGCACAGCGAAAAGACTGTACTGGGTCCCGGAAACAGGTTCCATGGTGCTGACAAGGGGAGGGGCTGCACGCTGCAAGGGAGCACAACATATGAAACAAACAGACAATTAGACAAATTATTAATGATAATGAATAATAATAATTTGAATAAACAGACAGGATGAGCGACAGACAGGATGACTGACTGACCGACCGGCTGATTGATTGAAATCATTTAAATAATCTTGGCCAAAATATAACCATGTAAGGACATGCAACAATCTATGCTAAAGTGTTGTTCGTGATGGCAATAATCCCTGCCTGTAGCTACCCGAGATCTCCTGAAAAGTGGCAAAGAAGCCATCAAAGTTGTTGTAGCCGTCTGAGACAAACAGGACGTGCAGCCTGGTTCCAGAGGTTCTGATTGGTGGAGGCAGCTCATTCCCACAAAACCGGCCAATGACAGGGGAGCTCAGGCTGTCACCATCCCGCAGCTCCACGTAGTCATAGTGACAGTTGAGGTCAGGCTCTAGACTAAGCATGGAGAACCTGGACGGAACCAAACAAGGTCTTGGTTATGATTATGTTTGGCTGTTAAGTAGGAGAAGATACGAATCTATATCCGGTGTCCATGGATTGTGACAGACAACTTCCTCATAGAATACCATTCAACTTCATGAAAACCAATGAGAGATTCAATGAATTTGACAGTATAATCAATTCAGGGACCAACCTGAGCTCCACGTTCTCCCCTCTCTCTACCTGCACCCTCCACTCACAGTGCGCATTGATGGGGTAACTCTCCAACATGATGTGGCCCTGGGATCTACGAATCACCCCTCCACATGCTAGGAACAAGAACAATTTTTTTTTTGGTTTGCAGCAAGTCATTACATTTTTTTGTAATGAACAGTGTTGGGGAAGCTACTCTGAAAATATAGTTTACCAAGCTACCAATTACATCACATTGGCAGAAGTTAAGCTACACTAAAGTTCTAAACATAGTTTACTTAACTAAAGTTACATATGTAAATCTGAAATGTCATAGAATACAAAATTGCAAGAATAGATCACTCTGGAGTCAGATGATAACAGAATGTGTAATTTAGCCTATTAAACATAAGAACTTTCTAGTGAGAATTAGGCAGGTCTGATGCCGAAAAAGAAAGGACATTATTGTCTACTTCACACATGCTTTGTGCAAAAAAAGTAGTGTAGTTCCAGTAGTTAGCTACAATGCTACATGGCTATAAAGTAGTGTGTAGTTCCAGTAGTTAGCTACACTGCTACATGGCTATAAAGTAGTGTGTAGTTCCAGTAGTTAGCTACAATGCTACATGGCTATAAAGTAGTGTGTAGTTCCAGTAGTTAGCTACACTGCTACATGGCTATAAAGTAGTGTGTAGTTCCAGTAGTTAGCTACACTGCTACATGGCTATAAAGTAGTGTGTAGTTCCAGTAGTTAGCTACACTGCTACATGGCTATAAAGTAGTGTGTAGTTCCATTAGTTAGCTACACTGCTACATGGCTATAAAGTAGTGTGTAGTTCCAGTAGTTAGCTACACTGCTACATGGCTATAAAGTAGTGTGTAGTTCCAGTAGTTAGCTACAATGCTACATGGCTATAAAGTAGTGTGTAGTTCCAGTAGTTAGCTACACTGCTACATGGCTATAAAGTAGTGTGTAGTTCCAGTAGTTAGCTACAATGCTACATGGCTATAAAGTAGTGTGTAGTTCCAGTAGTTAGCTACACTGCTACATGGCTATAAAGTAGTGTGTAGTTCCAGTAGTTAGCTACACTGCTACATGGCTATAAAGTAGTGTGTAGTTCCAGTAGTTAGCTACACTGCTACATGGCTATAAAGTAGTGTGTAGTTCCAGTAGTTAGCTACAATGCTACATGGCTATAAAGTAGTGTGTAGTTCCAGTAGTTAGCTACACCGCTACATGGCTATGAAGTAGTGTGTAGTTCCAGTAGTTAGCTACACCGCTACATGGCTATAAAGTAGTGTGTAGTTCCAGTAGTTAGCTACACTGCTACATGGCTATAAAGTAGTGTGTAGTTCCAGTAATTAGCTACACCGCAACATGGCTATAAAGTAGTGTGTAGTTCCAGTAATTAGCTACACCGCTACATGGCTATAAAGTAGTGTGTAGTTCCAGTAGTTAGCTACACCGCTACATGGCTATAAAGTAGTGTGTAGTTCCAGCAGTTACATTTGAAGTCGGAAGTTTACTTACAACTTAGCCAAATACATTTAAACTCAATTTTTCACAATTCCTGACATTTAATCCTAGTAAAAATTCCCTGTCTTAGGTCAGTTAGGATCACCACTTTATTTTAAGAATGTGAAATGTCTGAATAATAGTAGAGAGAATTATTTATTTCAGCTTTTATTTATTTCATCACATTCCCAGTGGGTCAGAAGTTTACATACACTCAATTAGTATTTGTTAGCATTGCCTTTAAATTGTTTAACTCGGGTCAAACGTTTCGGGTAGCCTTCCACAAGCTTCCCACAATAAGTAGGGTGAATTTTGGCCCATTCCTCCTGACAGAGCTAGTGTAACTGAGTCAGGTTTGTAGGCCTCCTTGCTCGCACATGCTTTTTCAGTTCTGCCCACACATTTTCTATAGGATTGAGGTCAGGGCTTTGTGATGGCCACTCCAATACCTTGACTTTGTTGTCCTTAAGCCATTTTGCCACAACTTTGGAAGTATGCTTGGGGTCATTGTCCATTTGGAAGACACATTTGCGACCAAGCTTTAACTTCCTGACTGATGTCTTGAGCTGTTGCTTCAATATATCCACATGATTTTCCTTCCTCATGATGCCATCTATTTTGTGAAATGCACCAGTCCCTCCTGCAGCAAAGCACCCCCACAGCATGATGCTGCCACCCCCGTGCTTCATGGTTGGGATGGTGTTCTTCGGCTTGCAAGCCACCCCCCTTTTTCCTCCAAACATAACGATGGTCATTATGGCCAAACAGTTCTATTTTTGTTTCATCAGACCAGAGGACATTTCTCCAAAAAGTACAATCTTGTCCCCATGTGCAGTTGCAAACCATAGTCTGGCTTTTTTATGGCGGTTTTGGAGCAGTGGCTTCTTCCTTGCTGAGCAGCCTTTCAGGTAATGTTGATATAGGACTCGTTTTACTGTGGATATAGATACTTTTGTACCTGTTTCCTCCAGCATCTTCACAAGGTCCTTTGCTGTTGTTCTGGGATTGATTTGCACTTTTCGTACCAAAGTACGTTATTCTCTAGGAGACAGAACGCGTCTCCTTCCTGAGCGGTATGACAGCTGCGTGGTCCCATGGTGTTTATACTTGCATACTATTGTTTGTACAGATGAACGTGGCACCTTCAGCCGTTTGGAAATTGCTCCCAAGGATGAACCAGACTTGTGGAGGTCTACAATTTTTTTGCTGAGGTCTTGGCTGATTTCTTTTGATTTTCCCCATGATGTCAAGCAAAGAGGCACTGAGTTTGAAGGTAGGCCTTGAAATACATACACAGGTACACCTCCAATTACATTTACATTTACATTTTAGTCATTTAGCAGACGCTCTTATCCAGAGCGACTTACATGAGCAATTAGGGTTAAGTGCCTTGCTTAAGGGTACATCGACAGATTTTTCACCTAGTCGGCTCGGGGATTAGAAACAGCGACCTTTCGGTTACTGGCATAACACTCTTACCCACTAAGCTACCTGCCGCCCTATTGACTCAATTGACCCAATTGACTCAAATGATGTCAATTCGCCTATCAGAAGCTTCTAAAGCCATGCCATTGTTTTCTGGAATTTTCCCAGCTGTTTAAAGGCATAGTCAACTTAGTGTATGTAAACTTCTGACCCACTGGAATTGTGATACAGTGAATTATAAGTGAAATAATCTGTCTGTAAACAATTGTTGGAAAAATTACTTGTGTCATACACAAAGTAGATGTCCTAACCGACTTGCCAAAACTATAGTTTGTTAACAAGAAATGTGTAGAGTGGTTGAAAAACTAGTTTTAATGACTCCAACCTAAGTGTATGTAAACTTCCGATTTCAACTGTAGATACACCGCTACATGGCTATAAAATAATTAACTGCTGAAACGGTACCAAAATTTCAATTCAGTTCAACTACCACCAAGCTACTGCAAAATGTAGTTACAAAACTAGTTGAATTACACGTAGTTCACTACTCCCCAACACTGGCAATGAAACCAGTGAGAAACTCCCAAACACTGTAATTTAGAAAAACGCTCTACCCCTGAAACAGCTTACTCACTCTTGCAGTCTCCACCTGCCCAACCCTGACGACAGTCTGTACAGAATCTCCCTCGGATGAAGAAATCGTCCTTGGCCTCCCACGTCCCATTGTGACAGGTCTTACAGTTCTCAAACAGACTGCAGCCTGAGGGAAGAGCAGAAACAGGGGGACCAGTGGATCAGACCAGCGTTCCTGCAAGCAGTTAAATGACATGCAATTTCAACCAATGTTTTATCACTTTTAAATGTTTGATTCATTAAACGTTAATAAATCCGTAAGAAAAAGTGAATAAACGACTTATAACCGGTATAAATCCTTGTATGTACATCTTAACGTAAAGCGTTATCATCATGTGAAGAATAAGAAGAAAAAGGTCAGTGTACAAACAGTTGTATTGGGTAAGAAAGCTGGAAGGGAGTAACAGGGAAGCAGTAGAGGCACAGATTATAAGAAGGAGCCAGATGTCTCACCGGATGTATACATCTGAAGCGTCCGTTTAGAGCTTCTTCTCACCACCAAATATGGTGATGAGAGGAAGTCCAATGGCGGGAAGTGGGAGAAAATTGAGCTAAATGAAACTTGGCGGACATTCTGCACATTTTCTCATTGATAAAACATTCGATCTCAATACAGTTCTCTTCCCAAAATTACAATCTGTACAGAGTGGACTACGTGTTGTAGACTTTACCCTTTGCCAAAGTTTTTAAAAATGGTGTCGTTTAGAAGGAATGCAACGGCGAATTGAATTATTGCACATGCACACTTCACAAAGAAGGCGTTACCTAGCAGAAATATGCAAATATATGCTAAAACCCACCAATAGGATCTCACTAGGTCATGCTTGGTTCTGCCCACCTCCTTGCTTGTTCTGTCCACTATGCTTCATTTGCTCCCACTAGAAACGACACCGATGAGATATCTTGGGTTAGTTACCAGTATCTTTGGTAGAGGTCTGATAGGTTGTTTACCAGGGTGGATGATGCAGGGGTCACACTGGTCCAGTTCATTGCGGCAGCAGGGGACGGAGTACCCGACCCGTGCACCCTGGGAGGGACACCTACACTGGATCAGGTGGTACTCACAACAGTCCCCACACATGTGGTTCCACTCTGAGCTGGGACACTTGTCATCCACCACACCTCTGGAATCTAAATCAAAGCAATCAGTCAATCAAATGTATTTTCTAAAGCCCATTTTAGCGTGGCAGGTTAGAGCGTTGGCCAGTAACCGAATGGTCGCTAGATCTAATCCACGAGCCGGCAAGGTGAAGAATGTGCCCTTGAGCAAGGCACTTAACCCTAATTGCTCCAATGGCTGTCCCTGGTCGTGACGCCACTCCCCTAGGGCCTCTCACATACAAACACATTTCCAATTCACACATGTATTAATACACACTTGTACAACACATGATACCAAGCCTAAACTCAAAAGAACAAGCAATGCCGTATCAAGGGAGTTTCACATTGAGACCGGCATGTTGTGAACCCAACATGTCATGAGGCACGGCGTTCATCTGTCTAGAATTACTGCTTCTGTAAAATAACATGCTCTATAGTCTACATGAATGCACGTTTTGATTCATAACATTTCAAAATAATATTTAGCTACAGTTTGAACGCAACTCAAAGCAAACACACCTCAACTGTATCCTCCCTGTACTGGAAGAGTGTTTTTTGGGGCTAAAATTATTTGTATAAAGCTTATTTTTGCTATCCCAGAGATCTGGTTATCACGTTTGCTTGAGTAGGGCTCTAATGTGTTTAACCTGGTAGCCCAATTCTAATCTTTTTTTTTCCCACTAATGGGCTTTTGACCAATCAGATCAGCTCTTTTGCCAATGATTGGGGAAAAGATCAGAATTGGGCTGCCTGTGTAAATGTAGCCATAGCTACATAATAAACCAGGTAGTTTGGATCCTGGATGCTGATTGGCTGAAACAGCATTCCAGCAGTGTGTACAGTGGCTTGCGAAAGTATTCACCCCCCTTGGCATTTTTCCGATTTTGTTGCCTTACAACCTGGAATTAAAATTGATTTTTTGGGGGGTTTGTATCATTTGATTTACACAACATGCCTACCACTTTGAAGATGCAAAATATTTTTTTATTGTGAAACAAACAAAAAATAAGACAAAAAAACAGAAAACTTGAGCGTGCATAACTATTCACCCAAGTAATTTTTTTCATTTCACTTCACCAATTTGGACTATTTTGTGTATGTCCATTACATGAAATCCAAATAAAATGTCATTTAAATTAGAGGTTGTAATGGAACAAAATATTTAAAAAACGCCAAGGGGGATGAATACTTTTGCAAAGCACTGTATATTAGACAATATGCCACGGGTATGATGCAAAACTTCCTCCCTGTTATATTTATGTTGGTAACCAGTATATAATAGCAATATGGCACCTCAGGGGTTTGTGGTATATAGCCAATGTATCACTGCTAAGGGCTGTGTCCTAAGAACAGATTTTAGGCGTGGTATATTGGCCAATATATCACACCGCCTCGGGCCTTATTGCTTAAGTATAGCATGTGTAAACTGGAAGAGGGTTTAAGGGTAGCAATCCTCTGTGAGACTATAATTTGTTTGATACCTCTCATCAACTTCCAGGTGTCTTGTGGCAAGTTCTATGTGAGAGACAAGAAAAAAGGACCCAATGTGATTCTATGCAGTGATTTTACAGCTCTCTGTTGACTAACTCTGCTGAGTGGGTTAATCCTATTGGAACAGGGGTAATGTGCTTGAATCGTAAATTCATGGTTCAAAGTTCATTACCTGCTCCCCCAGGGGTCATTACAATAGCAAGAAACCCCCCCAAACGCAATCTAACCCTATCTCGTGATGGTGCCAAAGACGTGTCTTTTACCCTCTACAGACTAAGCCCTGTCTAAGCTGGGGTTCTACTGAGCTATTATGAACTGTTTTAAGAAGGTCATACCAAGGATCATTTAGCAATTTGATTTGAATTTTTAAGACCCCTTGAAGTATAAAATACTACCTTGCCAACATCATGCAAAGCTGTCATCAAGGCAAAGGGTGGCTCCTTTGAAGAATCTCAAATATATATTTTTGGTTTAACATTTTTTTGGTTAATGCATGATTCCATATATATTATTTCATAGTTTTGATGTCTTCACTATTATTCTACAATGTAGAAAATAGTAAAAATAAAGAAAAACCCTTGAATACATATATATACATGCATACATACATTTGAAGTCGGAAGTTTACATACACCTTAGGCAAATACATTTAAACTCAGTTTAATAATAGTAGAGAGAATGATTTATTTCAGCTTTTATTTATTTCATCACATTCCCAGTGGGTCAGAAGTTTACAAACACTCAATTAGTATTTGGTAGCATTGCCTTTAAATTGTTTAACTTGGGTCAAACGTTTCGGGTAGCCTTCGAAAAGCTTCCCACAATAAGTAGGGGGAATTTTGGCCCACTCCTTCTGACAGAGCCGGTGTAACTGAGTCAGGTTTGTAGGCCTCCCTGCTCGCACACACTTTTTTAGTTCTGCCCACACATTTTCTATAGAATTGAGGTCAGGGCTTTTATTTTAATTTTTTTTATTTCACCTTTATTTAACTAATTAAGCCAGTTGAGAACAAATTCTCATTTACAACTGCGACCTGGCCAAGATAAAGCAAACCAGTGCGATAAAAACAACAACCACACAGAGTTATGTGATGGCCACTCCAATACCTTGACTTTGTTGTCCCTAAGTGTTAACCTCTTATGGATCAGACCCTTTTTTTCAATTTTCGCCTAAAGTGACATAACCAAATCTAACTGCCTGTAGCTCAGGACCTGAAGCAAGGATATGCATTTTTTGATACCATTTGAAAGGAAACACTTTGAAGTTTGTTGAAATGTGAAATTAATGTAGGAGAATATAACACATTAGATCTGGTAAAAGATAATAAGTGGCGCAGTGGACTAAGGCACTGCATTGCAGTGCTAGCTGTGTCACTAGAGATCCTGGTTCGAATCCAGGCTCTGTCGTAGCCGGCCGTGACCGGGAGACCCATAGGGCGGCGCACAATTGGCCCAGCGTCATCCAGGGTAGGGGAGGGAATGGCCGGCAGGGATGTAGCTCAGTTGGTAGAGCATGGCGTTTGCAACGCCAGGGTTGTGGGTTCGATTCCCACGGGGGGCCAGTATGAAAAATAAAAAAATAATGTATGCACTCACTAACTGTAAGTCGCTCTGGATAAGAGCGTCTGCTAAATGACTAAAATGTAAATGTAAATGTAAAAAAACTTTTAGATTTAGATTTTGGCCACTAGATGGCAGCAGTGTGTGCAGTTTCAGATTGCAATACTGGACTATTTTGTATCAAGTCTACCCAAATATGCCAAATTGGTCAATTTATACATTATCAAGTACATAACTCTAGAGAACATACAAAAATTATATGGTAATACAAAATGTAAGTTTACACACTCCCAGGAATGTCATACATGATGGATCATTAGCTTATATACCAACTTTCACACATCTAGATGGCCGGGCGGGGTGGGTGTGTATCCAGAGACAGCAGGGGTTCAAACTGTAGAACCCAGTTCCTACATTTGAATACAAAAATGGATTTCATCAAACAAAACTATGCTACATTTTATCTCTGGGACCCTTAGGATGATAAATCAGAGCAAGATTACTGAATGTAAGTACATTATTTACCTTCAGAGGTACCAGTTGCCGTGATTAGTTTTTGTTGTTGTTGTGCACGCTCCTCAAACAATAGCATGGTATTATTTCACTGTAATAGCTACTGTAAATTGGACAGTGCAGTTAGATTAACAAGAATTTAAGCTTTCTGCCCATATAAGACATGTCTATGTCCTGGAAAGTTTGCTGTTACTTACAAGTCATCCTAATCACATTAGCGCACGTTAGCTCAACCGTCCCGTATACGGGACACCGATCCCATAGAGGTTAATTAACTACTACAGTCATACATATTCTCATTCCAGTCTGGTCAAAATGAGTGTGGCAAACCACAGACATTTCCCCCAGCTTTCTAACAGCAGAGAAGTTAAAACCCAGACATTACTTAGTATGTGACCAGAGAAGTTATAACCCAGACTTCACTAGGTACAGTATTTGGACCAGAGAAGTTAAAACCCAGACTTCACTAGGTATGTGACCAGAGAAGTTAAAACCCAGACTTCACTAGGTATGTGACCAGAGAAGTTATAACCCAGACTTCACTAGGTACAGTATTTGGACCAGAGAAGTTAAAACCCAGACATCACTAGGTATGTGACCAAAGAATTAAACCACAGACATGACTAGGTGTACCCATATGACTCAGAGGGGAAATTCATTACTCAGCAACTGCAATTACAACAAAAGCAAAAAACTCTAACAATGGAAGTACTGGGAACACTTCAGAATAGAGAGGCTAACACAAGTTACAGCATGTTCAGTAGGGTAATACATCTGAATTAAATGTGTAATCGTCAGTGTATGATGAAATCATCGCTCCAGCTCTTACCGTGGGGCCAGGCACTTCCATGGAGGCAGAGTAGAATGACACGGAGAAGAAGAGGCAGGAGGTGTCTTGGTTGCAGATGAGGGGGCATCGGCGCCCTCTGGCTCACCAGAACCATAGAGCTAGGAACCAGAACAGACATGATGTCACTGAGGAGTGACAGGAGTCCGGAATCTAAAGTGTTCCTATTCAGAACGCTCCACATCAACCCCACTATCCTCTCTTTCTCTGTGCTCTAGATGTGACGCAGCTGTTGAGGAGATCACTCACACACACCACACTAAAGAGAGAGATTTAACCCTTTCTTTTCACCAGGAGTCACACTAGCATTCTGCACTCTCTCTCGCTCTGTAATGATGGACAAGCATCTATGCGTACTCACCATGCATCTGGACTCTCCAGCTTCTGTTTTTACAGACATGCCATGTGGAGTTCTGGAGCTCCAAAGGAAAAGGGGCGTGGCTGCATGTTGGCATGTTGAGCGTTTGAGGGAAAACACGGTCACTTTTAATGGAGCAAACAGAGATGGTGATACTTCAGGGAAATAGTTTTTCCATCTGTGTGTATGGCGGGTGAATTCAGGGAAGCCTGAATCAGGATGCCATTGTACTGTAACCCCCTCAGGCTCTGGCCTGCAAGATCTGCGGGGGAGGCCATGCCAACAAACACTGATAAGCAGAAATATCATTCCTGTTCATAGAGTTATGTCTATAGGACTGAACCTGGGCAAAGCTTCTGTAATGATGACAGTGTATTATCTACTAAATGGCCCCAGGCAATGGGGCGGACAGGCACTGCACAGCTCATTGCAATCACACTGTTTATTTTCCATTACCTGGCTTGGATACAGTTTCCATGTTGAAAAATCTCCCTTTTTCCAGGCATTGCATCCAGATGGGACTCAGAGTTCAGATTTTAACTGACCATAAGGACCAGAACCATTAGGTTTAGTGGACATTTGCCTTCTACTTCTAGAGAAGCTTGAGAAGAAACCAAATACTTTATGTACTATAATTTACAAACCCTAGCCTGTAACCCTTCGACACTTGTGTACAACGAAACACAAAGACTATAAAATGCCTTAGTAAGCTAAATACATAACCAAAAACAGTCTTGGAGAATCGACTACAGCCAAGGTAAAATGGAAAAATCATGTAGGTTTCTATTTTGAGTGGACCATCCCTTTAAGCAATATGGTAACAGCATAACATTCCCTTTGTGAATTATACACACCTGAAAGACGAGACAAGAGCCACCTGGTGGTTATGTATATAAGCAGCATTTAATTAGAAATAAAATATTTTACACTTTTACAAATTAAGTAAAAACACAATTTTGATTTAGAATACATCCATTTTACAAAAGAAACATACATTGAGTAGCCATGAGGGGTAGAAGGATAAAGGAGAATATATGACAGAGTGACTTGGGGTTACACCGGACGACAACACATTGACGGGTCAAACAGCACAGACTGCCGAAACAGACTCATGAGATTAGTTTTGACTCACGAGTCATGCGAGCACAATGACTCTTTAGCATTGAAGCAACGGTGAACCAGAGCCATATCTAAAGATCTAGTTTATAATAGAAAATATATATAATAATCTCTATACATTTCTCTGTGTGTTCCATTGCTATGATTCAACAGTTAATTGCTATACTCGGCGCAATCCCTTGTGCTATTTGACAGACCAATCAACAAATCATTTCACATTAGAACTTATTGATAGAACTTGATCAAATGTAACTGTGTAGTTAGTACAACAACAAGGGGTATGGATTATATTTGACCCTTTCCTTCATTTTACACTGTAGGCACAATAGCAGATTTCCTCTATATGGGACTTGGATCAACAGCACTGTTAAGGGCTTTTCACACTACTGACCCAAGACAAACAAAGCTGTACTGAGCTGGCCTGGTTACAAATCCAACATAGTTGATGGCACCATGCTGAAAAGGACATTGTGATCAGAGCCAGCAGTTGGGGTAGGTACGATAGTGTTAAAAGGGTATTTGTTACTGGTCCACAATGCTTCATATTGTACTAAAATCTCTGTGCTGAGTTAGCACAGAAACACACGCCATGTCACAGACATTCATACCAACGAGTCTGTTTTTAAGAAGTAGTGGTGATCGAACATACTGTATAATAAAGTGCTTTACTTAAAGTGACAGTTCACACCCAAAATCTAAACTTCGTGAGACGTTTGCAAGTGGACAATGGAGTGCTAGTCGTTCTCGTTCATGTATAGTTGTAGAGGTTGAGGAGGTCAGCTCTATAGAGGTCGAGGGCAGTCTCTGAGAAGGCAGCCATGCCATGCTAGGTGGTAGTCTGTCTGTCTGTTTTACATCCTTGTATTGCGTTGGAAGACTACCAAACAAGCAGTGGTAACCAGGCTCTGTCGTAGCCGGCCGCGACCGGGAGACCCGTTCACCAATTCACACGACGGGAAGATTAGCACCCTCATTCATCAATATCAAAAGAGGAGAATTTAATCTGTGTATTTTACATTGCATTCATAATCTTACCAAGAAATCCATGTTAGACAATGCACATTTCCACTATTCCCATAGTAAACTTTGGCTTTCAGTTGAGTCACGTTACCAGTCAGATCCCTAATCCACTCTAACGAAGGGCCCTACCTCTAACGAAGGGCCCTACCTCTAACGAAGGGCCCTACCTCTAACGAAGGGCCCTTCGCATGCAGGTAAGTGCCAGCCTTACGAGCGTTTTGTTTTAGACCAATCAATACTTTAATGTAAGCTGACACCTAAAGTTAAATCGATTTTCTCTCACATAATTAGCCTTCATTAAAAAGCAAACGACAGCTAAGCTTAAGCAAACTTAAAGCAGAATTGATGTAAGCTTATCAGACTGGAATGTGTTGTATGCAGTGTTATATGCGAATCAATGCGATGCAAATGGAAAAAAAACTAGGACAATGGAAAAGGAGTCTGGCTCCAGTAATCTCTTGAAGCCAGTCAGATTGTTGCAAAATCAAATTCAGGGATGTAGCTCAGTTGGTAGAGCATGGCGTTTGCAACGCCAGGGTTGTGGGTTCTAAAATAATGTATGAACTCACTAACTGTAGGTCGCTCTGGATAAGAGCGTCTGCTAAATGACGTAAATGTAAATGTAATTGAAAAAGTTGGTAGAACCACGAAAACCCTTGGTGAGATGGAAGGGATAAACTAACAGTTCAACACTAAATCAACCTTTGGATCCCAGGGGAGAACTAGCAGTGACTCGTGTGGTGTAACATCACTAGTAGTATGGCATAGCACATAGGGAGAGAGTAGATAGATGCCCCTCACGCGAGGTGTCCCCAACCTTTCCTCCTCGAGACACGTTGGTGAGGACATCACAGGTTCTTCCACTCACCTATACCAGAGAAAGCACAAGCTAAAGATGGTTTCTCTTTGGGGCGACCAGTAAGCAAATGCTGCTAACCTGATTTTGACCGAATTGCTCTGATTTCATGACAAAATGTCAATTTAATGTCAAACTTGTATAAAAAAAAAAAAAATACATCTCAAAACCTCCGGAGATCCTTTGGAACAGTCTTGTGGCTCTATAGTTCGGGAATCCCTGCCCTAACCTCACACGCCAGTCCGATGCCCCCTGACACCACATCTCTATAGTTTGGGAAGCCCTGCCCTAACCTCACACGCCAGCCCGATGCCCCCCGACACCACATCTCTATAGTTTGGGAAGCCCTGCCCTAACCTCACACGCCAGCCCGATGCCCCCTGACACCACATCTCTATAGTTTGGGAAGCCCTGCCCTAACCTCACACGCCAGCCCGATGCCCCCTGACACCACATCTCTATAGTTTGGGAAGCCCTGCCCTAACCTCACACGCCAGCCCGATGCCCCCCGACACCACATCTCTATAGTTTGGGAAGCCCTGCCCTAACCTCACACGCCAGCCCGATGCCCCCTGACACCACATCTCTATAGTTTGGGAAGCCCTGCCCTAACCTCACACGCCGGCCCGATGCCCCCTGACACCACATCTCTATAGTTTGGGGAGCCCTGCCCTAACCTCACACGCCAGCCCGATGCCCCCTGACACCACATCTTATGTGATCTACTGTAGGCCTATGTGGTGAGCTGGAGGTCAATCGCAGCACACCATTTTACAATCTTAGCCAATGAGAACACAGCTAGAGCAGAGGACGTTCATAATAGGGAGTTCTTTTGACAAACGAGGAAGTGAGTCAAATACTCTACGTGCAAACTGAGGCACGCGACAGGGGCGTGACATATTACCATTAGGATTCCCTTCATACCATGTGTCAAAAGATACACGGCTACAGGGTGAGGCTTCCCTTAGCCCTAAACCACACCAGCACAGAATAGAACCACACACACAAACCTCGGAGAGTGAACTGATCACGCTCTCGTCAATAGAAAAACGGTTACTGATCTTCTACATAAAACACAGCAGGAAAATTTCAGCGTGTACTGAGTGCAACAGCTGGATCTACAGCCTATATATATCACTGAAACCTTGATGACAGGTTGATATGGTATTGGTGGGCATCGTTTTACTGCAGATCTAACTAACAACTGCGGTTTGTTTTGCTGTCTGCGTTGTTTTTGCAGGTTTGGGCGGTGGCTACTGACAGTCGACGGACCCGTGGACGAGGCGAAACAGGGAATGATGCAGGGCTGTGTGTGGAGGGCTCTCCTTCCAATCAGCGTTGAGTCACAGGTGCATCAACAATCTAAAAAAAATAAAAAATAAAGAACACACAAATGCGTATGTGAATACAAACAGGTGTCCTGATGCAATTCACTGACAACACTCCAATCTTATCCTCTTCTGTCAAACATCAATGCACTCCCATTTTCTGATCGCTTTACTTATCAACAGAGCATCTGTCAAATCTCTGGTTTCTACCAACCTGCAATCACCTTTGCACTAGATAACGTGATGAAATGATCCCCCCTTGGAATCTTAACATGAGTTCTAATGGCCATTCTGTCAGGTCAAGTTTAAATCTAATGTTTGGGTTATTGTGGATCACACAGTGTCTTGCTTTGTGACCACGACCGCCACCTGTTAATGTTATCATTTCAAGGCATGGGACAACAGCTCGAGGTTCTGCCTGATCCAACCCCTCCCCAAAGCCCTGTAGGCCCGATAGGTAAGGGGGCTTGATTAGATTTTAAGCCCCAAAGGTGTGTTCTTCTGCTTAGTTCGGGGTATCCGAGGGGAAATCGCGGAGCTGGGACACGGGGTCCCACGAGTCTGGCTAACCCTAGAGAGGTCAGAGGGGTTAGCCTAAACCCACCCCCCACCTTCCCCAGTTGTTTGTGTGAAGGTTTATGTAGACCAGTCTGTCCACAAGGGACTAACCAGTCCCAAGCCCAATGGTTTTGGAGAGAGCCTACTGCTGTAACATCCTTACCGTTAGGCAGTAGAGGACATCAAAACAGCTAAGTAGAGTTTTTTGGATTCATGGGTGGCACAATGCCACTGTTAGTTCCACTATCTGTCAAGAGACCCCTGGGGGGAAAAAAGTGTTGTTTACCTGTTATTCCTGGGAGCTGTCGGAGCTCCCCCCGTGGGCTGAGCTGCAGCAATGGACCTTGGCCTGGGTGCCCCACTCTGTTAGCTCCAGCAGGTTGGGGCCGTGGCCCCTCTTCCTCGGGGGCGAGGGTCCCGCTGGCGTCCAGTCTCGCCGTCCAGAGTGAGAGGACGAGTACGAGTCTGGAACCACAAGGGCCCCGGTTAGAGATCCTGCAGGTTGGGATGCACCGTGCAACACAATCAGATATGGA